GGGGGCGTCCCTAGATGAGGCTTGACTTTTGATAAGCGAGTCTTTGTGTCCATCCACACGTGAGCGCCAATGCCTCTTTGACCTGAAATCTATCCGAGGTGAAGCGCATCGCAGAGCAGGGGAGCACGATTTGGAAGGATGGGGGGAAAGATCAAGATGCGCGGAGCGAGGGTCGAGGCCAAAGGAGGTTGGTTCATGTTCGTGCAGCAGGGGCAATGCGCACTAGCATACACAGCCTCTTCAGAAACGCGCGCGGTTATTGCCGTATTCTTGATGGCCTATAGGCAGACTGGCGACCCGTGCGGCCATCACTCGCACCGATTCGAGGTGATGCGTACGTGTGTGCGTGCTGTGCTTCTGCTTGATTCAATCAAAAGGATGCATCACGGCTTGCTTGCAGAGCTTATTAGTTAATTCGAGATTCGTGATTGTTGTGATTCACGATTGTTTGTTTGTTGCGCGCGCGTGCGTGTGACGTTTGCGCAAAACAATAATCAGCTACCGGTGGTACAGGTACAGTCGCTACAGTACAGTCACGAGTATGCGGAGCCGCGGAGCAATTAAGCAGTGGAAACCTTCTGCTGATGATGATGCGCGCCCGCGTGCACCGCAATGAAGTCGCGTGAGTGTGGAATCCGCGCTTGCTGTCGCGGTGCTCGCCGGCTCGGAGGCGTAGTGTGAGTGAAATTTCGAGGAGCGAGTGGATCGAGTGCTGCTGAGGGGAGTCGGGAGTCGTGAATCACAACAACTTGCGAGTTGCGAGTCTGAGTCACGAGTGGAGGGAGCTACGCGAGTGTGTACCTACCGGTAAAGCTGCGAGCCTGACCTCAGCTCGCAGCATAGCGCAGCTGTTTGTTCAATTCATCCGCGAAACTTGCCCTCTGGACTCACACTTGACTCCTTCCCAACCCTTCTGCATGCTCAGCAGCTGCTTGCTGATCTTCTGCCCACAGCGTCTAGTCTACTTTGCCAACCAGCGTTACGCATCAATCACACAACAGTCACGAGCTTTTGAGTCGTGAGTGAAGTGATCTGCGACGTGCGATCCGCCGTTTAGCGCGCAAGGACCTCAGATCGGGCCGCAAAGCTCCCAAGCAGCCGCAGATTGTAGTAGTAGTAGTGTACAGTATAGATAGATTGATGGAAAGCCACGCTAGGAGTGCAGGCAGCATCGGTCAAGCAGAGGGGAAATCAGGCCACTTCATAGGCCCGCATTCACATTCTATTTGCAAGGTTTGCGACTCAGACTACTACTACATCTTCGTGTACTTACGACTCGTGACACTCGCTCGAAACTCTCCTCGAAACGTTTCCACTTCTCCCCTCGCATTCGCAACGCAGGCTTAAGCGCAAGTTCGGATCACGTCTCATTAACCCCCAGCCATTGGTCTCCCTGCATTCAAGTCTCACCTCTTCTCTCTTGACACCTACGCATCATCGTCGCAGGGTGCTGTCAACATCATTTCCAGCATTCCAATCCCCGCACTCGTCATGACGTCCCACGCAAGCCTCGAATATCCTTTCGATGCACCTGGCTCCACCTTTCAAGAGCAAATGCGGAATCTGCCATACCCCGCATATCCCTTCGAAGGTCATGCGCTCCTCTCTCGAATCTTCACCCCGGCCTTCTACTCTTTCTCCCTCTCACCCATTCCCGTGTTGCTCTTCAGCCTGGCCTACTACCTCACCTCTCACACCGCTAACCATCTGCACTCGGCCCCGCCTACCGACTGGACAAAACCCAATGCAGCTGCAAAGAACGGAGGAGGAGGAGGAGGAGGAGGAGGAGGACATTTGAGAGCAAAACTACTTAGATGGATCATCTTGGCTCATAACGCTCTGCTCGCAATCTACTCGGCTGCTACATTTGTCCTCATGGCGCCTCCCGTCTTGGACCTCTTCTTCCAGGGCTGGAGGGCAGCTGGAAGCGAAGGTGAGTTTCGCATTGGACGGACGAGGGAAGAGAGACTCAGCGGGCCTTGGGTCCGTCGTGCGCGCAAGAGGCAGACATGGCAACTAGGTGGGGACCAGCAGGTTGCTGGAGCAAAAGCCTCGATGTGCTGCTGTGCGGAGGTGGTGCAGCATACATGCGTGGGAAAGCCCGAAGCTGACGCTGAGGACGTCAACCTGCCTCTCAGGCTTGACCCTGGCTCTCTGCTCCACGCCAACCAATGATCCCTACCTTGGCCGCTGGGCGTACATCTTCTACCTATCAAAGTACTACGAGGTGATAGGTAAGTCTTGCTGAAGGAGGATTTGCGAGCAAGGACGACATTGAGGAGCACAAGCTGACCATGCAGCCACGCATACGCAGACTCGCTCATCTTGTATCTCAAGGGAAAACAGATTGGACATTTGCAGAGCTATCATCATGCGGGAGCGCTCATCTGCATGTGGATTGCTGTCCGCTACCAAAGCCAGCCGGTCTGGGGTGAGTGGATGAAAATCACAAGTTTGCTTCAGCTCCCAGACTGTCCTCAAGGTCGCACGCATGGCTGACCACCAAGCTACCATTTCAATACTCTCTCGCAGTGTTCTGCGTCTTCAACTCCTTTGTGCACACCTTTATGTACTCTTACTACTTTTGCAGCGCCATGAGGTGGCCCTTTCCTCGCGCCCTCAAGAGGAATCTCACCACCATGCAGATTCTGCAGATTGCCAGCGGTGAGATCAGACCAAGCATAGACGTTCGATGGAGCTGCCAAGCTGACCCTTGATTGTACTGCATCTGCCCAGGAACGCTCTTGACAAACGTCTACCTGCTCGTCCGCGTCCAGCCCGCCCGAGTGCTCACAGCCTTGACGAGATCTCAAGTCTCTACTCTGCTGCCAGCAAGCATCTTCGCAGCAAGGCATCCAGCTCCTTCGCAAATTTTCTCCGGCCTGGTCAGGAGCGATCCGGGCAGCTTGTCCACCTCTGCTGAGAAGGCGATGCTGCTCGGTCATTACGCCGCTCAGAGGGCCCTCACAAAGAGTTCCGAGAGCTGTCTGCAAAGCAAGGGTGCCGAGATGGCACTGCACGTCAACACGATGTACATGACCGTGAGTGCTCGCGCAAGCAAGCTACGCAACCCCGGGCCAGCATAATTTCCTCCCTTGCCTCGCCCTCTGAGGTTCTAATCTTGGCTGACGGTCCTTCTCGCTGTCCCACATCTTGCCCCGCACAGCCCCTGCTCATGCTCTTCGCCCACTTCTTCATGCGCAGCTACCTCAAGCCCAAACCCAGAGTGAACGGTATCGTCAGCGGCAAAGCAGTGACAAGAGCTGGCGAAGCAGGTCAAAAAGCGGCGAGGCAGATCGAGCGGAGCGATGTGCCGTCTAAGTAGCTCTGTCGCTGCCCGCGGACGATCGGAATGCGACTCTTTGGGCACTGCCATTTGGTCCCTTGCGTAACGACTTCGTCAAAGTCGATACCTGATCCGAAGTCTTGGCTTCTTTCTGCTCGTCCATCTCTGCAGACTATCCTCATCCTCAACGCTTGTGACGTGGCCAAAATGTATCAAATGTTACCACTGAAATGCTCGCTGCAATCCAAGCGCAACTATTTCCCAACGATTCAGGAGCCAGCCACCCCAAAGTGTGACGCGAGCGAGCCACCTCCTGCGGCGGTGCCCGCATGGCGGGGTGATGCGTAATGCAGGACCTTCAGACGCAGATGACGGCTTCGCTGGTTCAGTGTCATATTGAAGTGGTGGGTGCTGATGTAAATTGAGTGACAGTGACTTGAATGAGTTTCAGGACGGCAAGGTGGTGTTGCGCAAGGGGCGGCCCCCTCTCGCATAGCAGCAGCCTTTCGTCTGCAGATGAAACACTGGAGCTTTGCTGGCCTAGTAAGGTCGAGCGGCAGCCTGGCAAGCCTTCAGTTGATCCAAGTCTGTGGCGGAGTGGCGACATGGACGCAGGTGAAAAAGTTTAGCTTGACAGGCTCTGGACATGTCAATGCGCCAAGAGATGTATCGACTCACAGTAAGAGCAAGACTGCATGTCGTTGCCGGTGGATTCGAGGCATCGAAGAAAGTCTGCGGAGGCGAATGTGTGAACAACGCCGAGTCAGCAAAATGCTCGCATACAAAGCCGAATGGTCAGCGTAGGCCCCCCCGCAAACCGCGCCGCGCCGCGCCGCATCGCATCGCAACGAGTTCGAGCTGAGAGCCCCTACAATCCAACCCCACCACTCGGCGCATCCTGCTTGCTGTCTACTGACCCTTGCTCTGCAGCTCGCAATTTCCAGCAGTCCTGGGGTCTTGACTCTGAGCCCAAGGTTGCTGCTGCTGTGCTTGTTGGGCATATTGATCAGGGGCCGGGGCAGCCGCTTGACCTCCACCTCCAAAGAGCATGTTGGAGATGCCGTGGCCCACAGTCTGAGAATTGCAAAAGCGAAAAGGAGGAGCGCAGCAATGAGTCAAAAAACACGTGAGGTGACTGGGCGCAGATCAATGGCTCGGAACTCACCGAGCCGACCGCTACACCTGCTGCGGTGGAAGCCATCTGAGATTCGTGAGTGCACCGCAGCAAAGGTCAGTCTCGCGAGCGATTTGTGTTGATAGTGGGGAAATTTGACACAAAGCAAACGCACCTGGCCAAACAGACCTGGTGCTCTTTGCTGCTGAGCGGCGGGAGCGTGCATCTGTTGAGCTGGTGCGTGCTGAGGAGCAGCCATGGTGTGCGCACCGCGGCTACCGGCAGGAGCCGAGCGACCTCCGCCAGAACGAGAAGAGCGAGGCATGCTGAGCGAGTACGGAGCTGGTGGATTCGAAAGTAGTAGCGTGTACAGCGTTGATCCTAAGTCTTTTGAGAGATGTGCGAAGTCAGTGAGTGCTGGTCTGAGCGGGATGGGGTGAAGGTGGCAAAGGGACAATCTAGCACTCGCATGCAACGACCCCGTTAGGTTACCTTGCGTGGCTGACCTTCAAAACGCGTCTGACTGGGCCCCGCTTGGGCCGAGCCGATCAGCAAAGCAGGTAGGCGGCGGGCGCGAGTGGAAACGTCTAGCAGGGAGAATCAGTGCGCACGTGGCCTGAAGCGTGAGCACACGCGGCCGCGTGCGGGTTCGCTTTGCCATCCTCAGCGGTTGCTTCGCTCACCTGCCCCGTCCCGCCGCACGCTCAGACTACAGAAGACGTGCGCGCGTCGAGACGTCGATGAGCTCGGGGTTCTGACGACGAGCGCAATTCGGCGTGTACTTAGAATACAATTTGCAGTCCGATATCAAGGGTGGGCTACATACGAAGCTCGAGGTGTCATCCTAGGCGTAGCGCTGAGCGAATGCTCGCCCCTCTGAAATTGAGCTTCGAAAGCTTCAACTGATCCGCCAAGCACACCAAAAGCATCCTGTGTCAATCTACCAATCTCTTCCAGTTGCCAAATGAGGTCTTTCATAGAGAGCGCGTAGCTAAAGTAGAGCAGGTAAGCGCTGCTACCTCTAACCGCCCTCCTCTTTACGGCTGGCAACTCTCGAATGGTTTCCAGCAAAGCCAATCGAGACCTTTCGGCAGGTGGCAGGTAAGGCGGCATCGGCGTCTTGAGGTGAAACGCACTTCCAAGAAGGTAAAAGAAGAGCAGCACGTTCCCGACCATTTCCCTACGCACACCAGTCGCATCTACCGGCACTACGAAATCGCTCCGAACTCTAGTGTGCCAATCTCGTCGCCCAGTGACGCCTCGCATGGCGTGCAGCTTGTCCAAGATGTTTTGACAGCAGCCCAAATACTTTCTGTACGTGCTTACGGGAAATGGTCCTTTGAGTCGGAACTCGTGCTTCGTCTGAGCAAGCAACCCTTCCAAACTGATCAGTTGCACTTGCAATTGGAGCTCCATCGCTTGCATAATGTCATCGCCGTGCAGCGCACTCTCGAGCAGCGGTGCAGCTTCTTCCAGGTCGTCGTGTACACCGACCAGATCCGAGTGCGGTTCTTCGTCGCGAGGCGGGCTTGAGCTGTACGTCAGTACAAGTCGCTGATACAAGGCAGAAAGGTTGAAGAGCAACTCTGAAAGTCCATAGGCCAGCTCGCGTCGAGCTTCGAAGGGCCAGACCAGTGAGTTCATAGCTGTAGCAGACACGACACCAATCACCACAGCAATGGCCCGTCTGATGGCTAGCTGCTCAACATCCATCCCTTCTCCGCGTAGCGTGTACGAGTAGAGGGCGACGAGATTGTAGGTGACGATTGAGAAGCGTCCGGACTGTGCCCGCACCGGCTTGCTGATAATGTAGTCGAAGCACGGCAAACTGTACAGAAATCCAAACATCGCCAAGGCGATCCAATTGTCCTTGAAGATCATCCGAGCAAAGTAAGCGGCTCCTGCGCCCACGATCGTTCCCACTGTCTGATGAACCACCATGTTGTTAGACTGTCCCATGGTCGGCTGCAGAATGACCATGAACGTGACGATGGCCCATTGCCCTTGAAACTCGAGGAACACGGGCCGCGTAGTGGTGATGAAGGCAGGCGAAGCAAGCAAGGCGCAGCCAATACCCGCTTTAAGGCCAAATTTGGAATCAGGCTGTCGGAGCCATTGGCCGAGCTCCCAAACCCATCTCGCGGCGCGTTGCTTGAGCGTGCGAGCAGCGGGTGTCTGTGCGGTGTGCAGCTGGTGCCGCTTGTGCGAGGGCCAGTCCGGCACAGTACGAGTCGAGTCCAGCGACAATAGGTGTGCAAAGCGCTGCCACACATTCCTCGTCCTTCGACGGCGAGCAAATGGACTTGGCAGGCGTCGTCGTTGCATCAAGAAGCGCCATGGACGCAGGCACGCCCAAGGAGTCAGGGCGCTCTGTGACTCTTGTCTTGCTTGCCGTATGTGGTCCATGACGCTGATTAAATGCTGCAGATCGCGAGCAAATTCCTCAAGCAGAAATAGAAAGTAAAAGATGACAAAGACCTCTTCATCAGCCTGGAAGCCCGGACTCGCACCAAGCATGGGTCCAATGCCGGCATCCTCGCTGTCGCTGGCTTTTTTGGCGAGAGGATAGACAGTGTACAATCTTCAGGATATCGCGAAAGAGCATCAGTCAAGGCCTAGGATCATTCAGAACAAGTGGCACGCCCGCCACCCACCTCTTAGTTGAAATGTCTTGCTCGTGCTGGAAGCGCTTTAGGCCGAGTGCAACGTCTTCAGCAAGCGATCGAAAGCTGCCACCTTCGCTCTCTGGGAGGGAAGGCGAGGCGTTTGGGGAGTTGGCTGCTGCAGGTTGCGTGCCAAATGCTGACCTGAGACCGTTCAAGCTTCGAGCGCAGGTGAACTGAAAAGCACACCGTGTGAGACTTGTGTATACCGGCATCCGTGAGCTTCGCACATTCTTACTCACTACCAGACTACGCATGTGCGGGCCGACTCCTTCGAGAAAGGCATTGAAAGCGACTGCTCGTTCCTGGAAATGCGCCGCCTCGGCTTGCTCGTCGTCAGAGTCGTCTTGGTCGTCGATCAACGCGCTTAGTGGACGTCCGCTGATAGCGCCAGCTACAGCCATGTTCTGATCGTGTTCAGGCAGTCGAATGCCGTGTTGCTCGGCAGTTTGCCTTTCTACTCTTTGAGCTGCCATGATGTCGTGCTGCAGACCACATGAACTACGAAGACCTCCGAGATGAAGTGCTAGACCGTTCATGCACTCCACTACGCTAACGTATGAGCTGATTTGACCACGCATGCGCCAATCGAATGGCGCCTCCAACTTTGCTTCTCCCAGATTCTTTTTCAGCTACGGAAGCAAAAGATGATTGATTAGCCATCTCAAAGTCAGTCTCTCTCGAGGTTTTAGCTCACGCTGGTGAATGAAGCGTGCAGATTGTCGCTGGCTTTCTTGATGCGATCTGCTCGAATATGAAACTCGTCGGGATCGTCTAAAAGGAACGTCTTGGTCAGGACACGCAGCAGGGTGGCGAACCCCTGCAAGTTCCGTTGAATGTCGGACCTATGAATCGTGAAGCGATTCAGGTCAGATGGCAGGTCCAAGTCGATGTCGCAAAATGATTGAGTCACTTACTCTAGGTTCGTGCACGCGCTCTGCGGCCAGAGCAAGAAGCAGACGGTATTGGTGACAAGTGCGCCGACTGCGACGACCAAAGAGACATCGTAAACCTTGTCCGTCTCGAAGCGGCCAAAATGCGTGCCGCCTTCTTTTGCAATGCTGCGAGAAGTGTGGCGGGCTAAAAGCATCAGCTCGGCACCAAGGAGAATGTTCCTGCCCGCATCGACAACTCACACCGTGAACACAATGACGCCTATCAGACTCGCTGCTGAGCTAAAAGCCGGACGAACAAGTTTGGCTCGCACGTATCCCACCAAACCCATGCCGCACCCGATGAAAAGCACGACGGTCAGGATGTTGCTGAAAGCTGCGAATCCGGCTTGATGAAGCGCTACAGCGGTGATCATCGATACCAAACCCAAGGCGATGGAGTAGAGAAAAGCGAGGGCAGCAAAGATGTCCGCTTCGATCATCGAGCCCATCGATCTTCCTGGATGAAAGTAGACGCTGACTGTAGCAACCAAAAAGAGGTTGGAGATGGGTATGGCCACGCCGTCCCTATCTGGTAGGATATCCGCCATGAGCTGAGAGAGCAGCGGCGCATACGTAAAGAGGGAAGCCAAAAAGTAGGCAATCGCGCACTTGAAAATGTCCTTGTGAACAAGTCGGATACGTGAGCCGTTCATCACTTCCCACAGCGTTCGCCAGCTGCGCCTTGGCGAAGCTTCCATCCTAGGCACACCAGCTTGGGATGGCTGCTGGTCCGATCTGCTCGGCTCGCCTTCGTCATCGCTGTCATCCAACAATCTCTTATCCTCGCTATACGCAAGCGGATCTTCGCCTCGCGGGATATGTTCCGGATCTGCATCGATGAAGGAATCTGGCTCTTCGCTGATGGACTCTGCATCGCTCGCAGATCTTCCACGAGCCGAAGGAGGAGGCCCTCTTCCAGGACTCAAAAAGCGCGTCCACTGCCTCCGATCCGTATGGCTGGGAGAAGTGGCCCTTTGCGCCTGACTAGCCGTTGCGGTGCGGCCCCTCGAAGTGGTTGGAGTGCCGAGAGAGATGATGGACGAGTCGCCGGGCGCATGACCCAAGCTGGCCGTGCTGTCCGACAAGACCGAGGTGCGTGCATGTTCCACATTCAGCCCGGCGCTAGAGCTTGTGCCTCTCCCTTGTCTCGCATTTCCGCTCGTAGCTGTAGAATGTCTAGCAGAGCTCCTCCTACCACCGGGTGTCCTACTCGGCTCTTCGAACAGCCTAGCCAAACTTTCCCACTGCCCAGCACTCGCTCCTGACGATCTATGATCCTCCTTCGCTCCCTCTCTTCCCGACCTCAACCACCCGCTGAATTCGTCCCTGTGTATCCAGGCTTGATCCGCATCCCTTTCAGCTCTTCTGGAGCCGGATCGCGCAGCTGATGCAGCCCTGATCGAAGCTCCTACGGCTCCCCATAATCCCCTTTGGCTCGTTGTCGCCTCGGCCGCGTGGGGCAAAGACTGAGGCAGCAACGCTCCTTCCTCGTCGTTGTTGCCCGCATATCTATTCTGTGCCCAGCTAGCACTGGCTGGGATTCCTCGCGGCATTGCCCGCTGTGGTGTTGTTGGCGTCGATGGGGTCTGCAGAGAGGCCTCCCGCACAGCGGCGGGTCGAGACCCAGAGGCAGACATCGTGCTCCTCTGGAGCGCCAAGACCTCGTCAGATCGGACGCGTGCGAGCGAGCGAGCGACTGCGACTTTGTTACCTCTGCACACACACAAAGACTCGATGGAAAATCCTAGACTACCGGAGGTCGGCGAAGCGGGCTTTCGAGATGGTCAACAGGGAAAAGGAGGGAGGTATGAGCCACGCTGTGATCGCGCTGACAACTCCCACTGTGACTGTACGTCCATCACCTACGGTCCAACCTGCAAGCCAGGAACGCGGACTCACGACGAGCACTCGACTGCCTCGATGCTGCTTGGCTGCTGGCTGCTTGCTGCGCGCGCTCAATTCTGGGGCTGGCGCGCCTTGAAGTTGGCGCGGCCGCCAAGGCGAAGAATCCTAATCAATCAACAAACAGCTCGCGCCTCAGGGGGGCTGTGCATACATGCATGCATGGGAGGAAAGCATCTTCGCGTCGCGTTCACGGTCCACGATAGCGGAGAGCCAAGTCGTCCATCCATCCGTCCATTCATCCATCCATCTTGTCAAAAAAGTCGCCGTCCTTGGCTGACGCTTACATTCACGACGTTCACGATTTGATTCGCGCCTCTGTCTCGTTCAACTCTGCTTTCGCTTCAATGCTATGAGCCAAGAAAGAGTCGTTGTATGCAGCGATGCGGCTGAGGTCGAGACGACACGCGAGCCGCAAGGGGTCGATAGGTATGCGAGCACCAAGCTCGAGGTGTACGATTCGAGAGTCAGGCAATGAATGCAATACAAAGGAGGTATCGACGGGTGTTCTGAGTGTGACTCCAAGGCAGAGAGGAGCGGGTATAAGATCGATGCGCTCAATCGACTTCGAAGGTCAAGGTACGAATGAGCGAAGTGAAGGAGGGGTGGGAAAGCAGCTACTAAGCCTAGCTAGCTATCACAATCTACGAGTCGCACTTCATGACGATGTTGCCGTAATAAGGGCCATCATGATCGTCTTCATCGTACTGATAAAAGTGTACCGAGTTGGAGCAAGCGTCGTTCTCCTGTCCAGGGCAATCCACTGCCGTTGTAGCTGCCTCATTCAGCCACACTTCTCCAGAAGGCGCTTGGTAGCCCAGCGTCTCTCCCGGCAAATGAGGAATGGGATCTCTATAATGAGTGACGTGCTTTTGTCCCGGAAGGAGATTATCGATGGCGCTGGCGAATTCGTCGTTGCCGCTACGGGGCAGACCAAAGAGGATCACCTTGACGTTGGAAGATGGTAGATTGTGCTTGATGAAAGCTGCGTCCAAAAGTCCGATGGACGCGCCGAGACTGTGACCAAAGATGGAGATTTGAGAGCCTGGGTATTTGGAGAGGGCAGATTTGACCTGCGAGAGCACCTGATCCGCCGTGTCGAGCCAAGCGTCTTGAAATCCCCCCACGACGCTCGCATCCGCGCCAAGGAAGCTCAAGCGGCTATCCAGATCGTCCCTGATAAAGTTGGCGTCGTTGAGCAAGGAGGACAAGCTGGATGTGTTGGTGCCTTGATGAGCGACTACGATTCCTTGCGATTTGGAATAAGCCACGTAGACTCTTTGCGTCTTTCTGCCGTCTCCCGTAGCCCACAACACTTGTCCATCCTCGCCCACCTTGGAGCCCGCTTTGACGGATGGGCAGTACGAGTCTCGAGCAAATTTGGCTGGCGCAATGAAAGACGATAGTTCAGAGACGGAAGCGGTTGTGGGAGTCGGATCTCTTTCTAGCACGGGTGCGGCGAGGATCGCAAGCGGGGCGGCGATGGCCAGGATGATGTGAGCAAAGCGCATTGTGCAAAGAGACAAGACGGCGTACACCAAAAATAAAACAAGGAGAATTTGATGAAAAGCGTCAGCGGATTGCTGGACGATAACGGGAGGGTCCTGCGGGCTGTAAGCAGCCTTGAGAGACGGTCCAAAGAGAAGTAAAAGCAGACACCTGCTGAGATCGGAGAGAAAGCTGGGAATATGGAAGACGAAAGGTGATGAGTGTGGGGCACTTGGCTGATAGTGAGGTCCTTTTATAGCGCCTGTCCACTCCTGTCTGTGGCTCCACGAACGTGTGATGCTGAGACTAGCGTCAAAGCTTGCGCCAAGCTTCCGACGCTAGCGTCGCCAGAGCCTTTCCATGGCAGAGGTCCGCTTAGGACGTACAAACAAGATCCGAGCAGAGCTCACAATGCAACCCTGCTCGCCCGAAGCGAACAAAGTAAGAGCACGTTCTGCGCTGCACCGGCCAGCAAGCTTCTGCATGGCATTCAGGTCGACGATTCGGCTCGCTCGGCAATCTGTCCGAGAAGGTCAGATGCTGCTTGCTGGTGTGAACGACGCCGACGCCAAAAGCTGCAGCTAATGCAGGGCCAATGTAGCAACAGCCGCAAACAAGCAAGCCGAGTCGAGCCTCGAGGCATTCTTCCCTCTCATATAGTAGCACTACTACTAGGTAGCGCAAGAATCGTGCTGTTTGATCTTCTGTAAAATCCCGGATCGTGATTTCTCTGACCGTCAGTAAACCATACAACAGACTGTACATGCTTGTGAATTAGTCGAAGCCTGGAGCGTCAAGGAGGATTGATGCGTCGGAAGCTGTTCCGCTCTGCAAGCAAGGCTGGTGGGGCAGGAGACGTTGCTGAGCATGCACGCACGGAAGAAGCTAATAGAGCTGCCGCTACCGTGACTATAATGCAGCGCAACCTTTTCCATGCATGCATGCGTCCTTCGCCGACCTGCAGCGGCGAAAGCATCCGCGGCCCCGCGCGCGCGCCCACACAGACGACATCCAGCTCGGCCGCGTGCGCGTGTGCGCGTGTGCGCGGTGGGCGCAAGGGAGAGGCAGGCAGGCAGGCAGGCGATCACCAATGGTGAATGTGGTGCGCGCGCACGCATTAACTTGCTGCGTGATTGACCACTCAATGAGAGTCACCTGGTGATGAGCAAAGCTGAGGCAGATGCGTGAGTGGGTGAACGAGTCGAAAGGCTCAGCAGCGCTCTTCCGCTGGAGGCTACAAGGAGGTTGGATGAGGCGGAAGGCATGTTCGATGAGAAACGCCCAGATCGAGGTCGAAGAGCCAGCTCGCGAAAGGGCTGCATGAAGAAGCATTTGCGTATATACGAAGCGTCACTGCCAATTTGAACTTTAAGTCCAGAGTTGGGGCTGTCAAGTATTGTGATGTGTGAGGAAAGCGGGGATGAGAGGGTGACTCGAGTTGCTTTCGAGACGGGTGCGTGGGTGCGTGGGTGCACATGCGCTTTGTTGTTCTTGCGTCGCACACCTAGAGGTTGAGCTGCTTATAGACGGCCTGTAGCGTCGTCTCAAAGTGTCGATGCGGGGGTTGCGTCTCAGGCGGTGGCAGCGGAGGAAGTCCAGGCTGATCACCTTCCGGTCTCTTTCCCGGTTTCTCATGTCTTTTGTTGTTCCTCTCCGCAGCTTCTATGATGGCAGCGACCACGAGACAAAGGGTGAGATAGAGCATCCAAGCCCAGAACAAGGCTGCCAAGAAGCGAGTCACGGGTCTGGCTCTTCTGCCGCTGCTTTGTGCGGCAGGAGTGGCAGCGTGTGGATGCGTGGGTCTCACGCCGTCGATGTGCGCGACTCGAATAGCTCCTGGTGGAGGTCTCCCTTGATTGGGCGTCAGTATCACGATCCTGGCAGTGTGGGATGGCTGATAAGGCGAAGCGCCGTAGCCTGGATGAGCGGCAAGAAGAGGAGCAGCAGCATCGCGTTGACCTGCCGCTACCGAGTCCTCGTAGGATGGTGGAACGGCGTTTGGACCGTTTGAGCCTGTTGCAGCAATGGCGCTGCTGCTGCTGCTGCTGCCCGCTTCGCTACCATCAGCCAAGGAAGGCGCACCCGCATCCTTCTTGGTGGTGTCCAGCGTCATCTCGTGCTGATCAGCTGCTGATCGGTAGATAGGCGAGGTGGTGAGAGTATGCGGGACTGGGTGAGGTGATGCGACCGCCGAGGAATGATGATCAGGCGTGAGGTCGCTCTCGAAGAGAAGGCTTGGATGAGGGTCACTGAGTGACGAACCAAAAGGCGAAGGGGATGGTGGTGCTGGGCCAACAAGCAAATCACAGCGTGGATGGCTCTTGATCACAATCGCAGTCGCAGTCGCAATCACGAATCAAAATCATCAGTCAAAGTCACACTCACTCACCACTCTGACTTGTGATTCGATGGGTGGATGCGAGCGAACTTTTCTCACAATTGACTCATCAATCACTCGACTCACGCGTCACGCGACTGAACTCAAAAATCTCGCTGAGCCTTTGGGTGGCTGTGTGGGTGGATGAATCTTGAATAATGATGTCACAGACTCAAACTCGCTTGACTCCTGACACTGACTGCTGCTGCGCTTATTTTATTATTATTATTATTCACGATCATTCAAGATTAGGCCCTTGACTCAGCTTCACGGTTGACTCGCGATCACGTGCCCATACCTGCGCCCTACCCACCTTCACGTCAAAATCCAGCCGACTAATCTTGAAATCAACGTGCGATTTGATTCTGAACAAGATCTTGAAAGGGGATCGATCGATGCCGCTAGCTGTGTGATAAGGTATTCACGATTGGTGATTCTTGATTCAAGATTGCTTGGTCAGTCACAACAGAGTCACACAGAAGTCAAGTGGGTGGAATCACGGGGTTTGACTGGGATTCACCGGCGCGTCTCAGTACCTTGCATCTCCCGACCACATCTTCCTCTTTCACTTTGACTCTCTCTACACATGCACCAGCTCTTCGACTCGTGTCTCCAGCGTGGACAGTTTCTGTACGCATTCAACAATTCAGATACCATCTCGCTAATCGGATCTCGTTTCACAACAAGCCCAGCTCGCCCAGCTCATCAGCATACCTGATTGTCATCCCTCCTCTGCAGCAATCGCCCCAGCAGCAACCCTCAAGCATGTCCGACCCCTCCTCCTCCACGTCCTCATCCACATCCAGCGTCCCCTCTCATCGAAATCCCACCCACGTTCTTCCAGCTCCGCGATCTGAGCAACAACAACAAGCAGGTGTGGGAGAAGCGCTCAAGAGCTTCAAACCTGCTCAAGCTGCAAATAGATTGAGTTCTGGAAGGGTCCATTGTGCCAAGCAGAGCCTGCTTTTGGGAACGGCTACAGCTGCGGGTGTGGGGGGAATCAGCGCTTTGGCTGGAAGGGGTGCGTGATCGATCGATGTGCAGTGTAGTGCAGTGCGGTTTGGACTGGCATGACGGAGCGTGCTGGCTCAGAACGCGTAGACCGGTCGAAGCTGATGTTACCTTCATGTACGACGTCAATCTTGCTCAGGCCCCAAGAGGAGCTTGAATTGGGGCATTGGAGCGTGGTTCTTGATCACAATCAGCAGCTGGTGAGCTTCCTCTTGCCCCCTTACTCCCCACCAGAGTGTGCTCGCCTTCACGACGCTCAAACGCGCCTTCCATCCTACCCCAGGGAGCTCTGTAGACGGTCTAGAGCAGCAGAGGCGCAAAGGATGAAGATTGCCATAGAAGCTTTCAGCAAAAAGAGGGCTGCTGCCGCAGGTACGAGCGGCGGGGCAGGAGGGACGCCTGCACCATCATCGCAGAGGTGAAGAGCAAACGCAATGCATAGGAATCAGAAGGCGGCCAGCACGTCACAAGCCTTCGCGTCCTGTCTGAAGTTGCTCCGGGGTAAAAAAGAAAGGTTGTTTCCAGCGGACGTGGAATGGGGATATCGATTGGCGGACGAATGACGTCGTTGGAGATGGGTAAGATACAGCTGATACGTGGATGCGGCGAGAAGGTTCGATGAAAGGGCAGCGATGTAGGATGAGCAGCAGCAGCAGCAGCGCGGAAGCGGAATGATATTGATAGAGAGGGCGAAGGCAGTGGCACAAGAACGTCGAGAGCCGTAGGTCATCCGCAAATTCGTACGATTCGACCGAACATGGCGGGGGCTGGCGAGGCTCTGAAGGTCGGGAGGTCGTCTGAGAGCTGGTTGCCTTATTTAGAGCGCGCCCGAGTCCACTTAGAGCAGCACGACGGCGACGAGGACGGATCCTGCTCCGATAGTAGCGGGCCAGTACGTAGCAGCCATAGACAGAGCTCCGTCGCGGTGGTCTTTGGTGAGCACGAGGAGAGCACAGCTCACTCAGTCTCTACCTCTAACGCTCGTTGGGATGCGGAACGACGAAGGAGCAGACTTACAGCGGTTACCCTGATCATCGTAGATGATGTTGGGGTTGGAGTTGCTGTTGGTCGCAAGGGGACGCGAATAGGCAGTGTAAGTGGTCGTGGCACTGGACAAGAGGGAAAGGACGAGAAGCGGGAAATAGGTCGCAGATTGCGTCAGGCGAATGTCCAATCGGTCGATCGATCTCGACTTGTAGATGTCGATGATGGAATCGGATACGGCAAGTCTCTTGAGAGCGCGGAGGATCCTTACGCCGTGCCGCCAGGACGATGCGCGGCTCGATCACTCACGGGTGCGAGTAGCCATTGCCGTTGCGGGTGAAGCTCTGGTTGAAGGGAACGAACAGCGTCAGCATCGTTGAAGTGCGGGTCTGGTGGTCAGCTTAGACACTTTTGAACCCACATTGTCGCCATCGCCATCATCGTCGTCGTCGTCGTCGTCATCGTCAGCACCGTGACTGTACTCCCAGCCAGTGCTGTCGCGACGAGCAGCATCGGCCTGAGGAGCGACCTGCGCAGCGTCGGCGATCGCAGCTGGAAGGGGTGCGCGAACAGCAAGACGTTGCTCGGTCATCTTGTTGGTCGGCATAGCTGCGGCTACAACAGCCAAGGAAGCTACAAGAGCGATACGAATAAGAGGAACTTGCATCTTGCCCGTCGTGGAGGTCGAATGTAGATAGTGTGAGGGGGAGGGAATGCGCTTCGTTGCGGAGTAGGGAAAATTGCAAAAGGACAGTACTGGTCGATCGATTGGAGGAGTTGGATATGGGTGTGCCAGCGAATTGCGAAATGGAGTGGGAAGTGGGAAAGGAGATGTGGAAGGGAAACAAGGTCAAGGATTGCCAAGACTTGCTCTTTATAGACGTCCAGACGGACTCGCACCGGCTGCCCATTTTGCCAAGCATGAAATCGCTGCGGTACATTGAGGATTGCTCGCGTGCCACGCTGCTTGCTGTTGTCATGCCGCACTGAGCGCCTTGCAAGCCTTGGCCAACCGACTCGTCTGGCGTGCAGATTCGAGGAGGGAGGATTCACCGGTTGACCTGCAGGCAGGAGCTCTTCGGTCTGCGAGGCGGCGCAGAGCTGCACCCTGGTAGCTCAAGGAACGAGGCTGGCCCTTTGTGAACCACTCAAAGCACCGTCTTGCCCAAAGAACATGTCCGGTGCCTTGCTCGTGCCTCGACGCTCCTGAGAAGCGCCGGACAACGCCGTCGCGCTAGGCGTAAGGTCTTGAGCCCTCCAGCGCTCGCAGGTCACGACCAGATACCATGACCTTCACTCTCTGTGATGTACGATTCGAAAACGTTCAGGCATACCGTGATAGCGCCTTTTGTGCTCGTGAGCAACTCGAGGTGTTGCCCGTCACGGTTAGGCTACGTATCTCCTCTTGTTCAAACGCGACACTTGCGCGGTCTTGGTCTGGAGCGCATCAAGGAGTCCGGAACCGTTGGGCGGTATGGTTTGTGCGGCTCAAGCGCGAATGAACCTACTCGCGCGCCCTCCATCCACCCGGCCAGACCAAATGCTCGAGAAGCTCGCCAGTTGGAAAAGCCCAGTCACGCCTCGCGAGCGAGATGGGTCGTAAACGACTGCAGTAGGCTCGATCTGGGGTCTTGGCGGAGGTGCGTGCCTCGAGCGAGAGCCGTTGAGCGCGTCACGCGCGAAGAAGCAAGCACGCGCCAGCGAGCGAGCGAGCGGGCGAGCAGGCGACCCCTTGCGTCCAAGCGTAGATCTGCATCAGTCGATGGAAGTAGGGATGCGAGAAGCCCTCACTCAGCCTTGGCCGTTCCTCGTGTTACTGTAGAAGTGGGAGGCCCGGGCCTCAGCTGGCCGATGAATATGCTTGGCGCTTGTGGATCAGGCACAGATGGCCCTCATGTGTTGACAAAGCAGACGTCCCGTGCAGCTCGCTTCGCTCGCTGCTTGGACCCCTGTCAGTCAGACGGGAGCGCGTGTCCCCCCCAACCTAGAGCTTAGCTCCTGATTCAAGCAAGCATCGTCGGGAACAAGATCATTCTCGACTCGAGAACATGTCGTCAACTTCCAAATCATTCATATTCACGATCCACAAACGGTCACGGGCACCAACCAGCCCTTCCAGATCACGACATACTCCACGCGAGCCGCTTGTGCACGGCATTGCGATGCTGGTTCACGGGCATGAGAGCAAAGCTTCAAAGGGTCGATGGGGCCGATCGCGAGAGTTGCTCGGATCCACAGCACAGGACCCTGCTGAGTTGCCGACGAGTGCGCAGCTGAAGCGGCGCACAAGTATTCATGCTGCGCGCTCCATGACCGTCGAAATGGCCCATTTCAGGCTACGGCGACTTTGAGAAGACATTAAGTGCGTGTCGGAGTTAAAACTTCGAGCGTGGCGCGTTTCGGCAAGTCCGGAAGCCGTACAGCGTTCTGAAAGACAAGTGATGTTACTGTAAATGCGATCATTTTCTCATGACGTCCTACGCCTGCTGCGACGAAAGAGCCTCTTCCGCGGAGGACTCATAGTATAAGAGAAAGCATGAGCAAAACTCGTCCTTCGCGAAACACTTCGTGGCCCTTTGTGGGATGTCGGACACCTTGCTGAAAGCAGGCGAGGTACCGAAGAGTCACGAGTGTGAGTGCGCGTGTCCCGGAAGGGAGCGGAGTCTGAAGAGCCGGCTCGTGATTCACACTCGTAGAGTCGTACGCGCGCGGATGGGGCCTCGGCTACAACAATAGCATGCATGCAGCAGCTATATGGACCGCCGCGATGCCGCTGCTGTGCGCGGAGCGCCACGAAAGCACAGCCTCTAGCCGTGCTGCACTGGGTTGCTTGTGCTTGCTGCAGCTCAGCAGCATATCCTACACATGCTTGTGGGTCGCCCATGCAATCATAAAACCAGAATGATCGTTTGTAAGTGGGATTAAACTTCTATCTTGAAGCGGTATTTTCATCCCAGCTCGACTTTTGACTGTCAGATTCAAGTCTTGGCTGACGCTCACAATCTTGAATAAATATCGAGAGTCATCAAGAGCCGGATCGAGGCGTGTCGCAGCGTTTTGCATGCCCTGTGCAGTCTCGCGTGGAGCAGGAGTACGGCAAAGCAGCAGCAGCACCCAGCATGGCGAAGGTGCCAGCCAAGCAAAAGACGCCGGCGGCTTCTTCTTCTCCTGTCGCGTAGCCCGGTGCAGGCACATGCACAGCTTGTTTAATTTTTTTTTTTGTTTTTTTTGGGGTCAATACAGCGCTGGCGCGTGCCTCTTTTGTTTTTAACAATTGAATTGAGCACGGCTTCCTTTACCTACACGCATAGGGGCTTAGACCGCTTTCAGCAGCATCGGAGGTTGGGATACCGTGCCTTTCAGCTGATCGTGCGTGCGCGTCGCGCAAGCGAGCGGCCGAGACATTTGCTTGCTTCGCAGTTTCGCAGCGCAACGCAACGCAACGCACCGCATCGATCGATCGATCGATCGAGAGAGAGAGCCAATTAAGCAGTGCGGCTCTTTCGCAGCGCTTGCATGCAAACCTGCGGCTTCTTGCTTTTGCAAGGAGCAGTCTTGAGTCACAGCGTGAGTCGACATCCGAAAAAAGGTGGATTGTTCACGATCAAAGCAGCGGATGTGATTTGCTTTCGTGATTCCAAGGTGCGCAATCGTGAATGTGAATCCAGAACGAGGTTGGAGTACATCGCAACTCCACCCTTCCAATCGTCAATCACAATACCAACCACTGACCCACACCTCTGATCGGTGCTCACACTTGCACACCTCACACTCACTCACTACTGCACAGACAGCGTGAATGCGCTGCGTCTATCGGCAATCGCGCCACGTAGAGCATTCGCACAGCCCTGCGCGGTGGGGTCCGAACCTTGACTTTTGGACTGCGCACCTAGCAAGTCGCCGACAAACAACCTCTCACCCCTCGAGAGCACGCCAGGCGCGGTCCTCTTGGCTCCTTCGGCTCCACTCTCCTCCATCCTCATCGTGAATCGACGAAGGGCTCAGCTCTTCCGCGGAGCGGCAGCGGCAGCAGCAGCAGCAGCATCACCATCGATTGATCGTTCGACACTGCTCAGCAAAGGTTTCTTTCTGTACGCACGACATACCTACTGCTTACACCATCGCGCTCATCTACGCCGGACGCTCAGTGGGCGACTCGGGCCTTAGCTTCGACTCCACGGTCCTTCCACGCACAGTCTGGCGGAGAGGAAACACATCTCGACTTTGATCGGACTTTGGGAGTTTAGGAGCGACAAGAGTCGGTCTCCGCGCGGTCCGAAGATTTCGCATATCGCGCGACTGTAGTCTCTTTTGCCCATATCCTCGGTGAGTTTGCGGATGTAGCTTATGCTTCGCGATGAGTGGTGTCTGCGCAGAATGCGGTTGCGATCAGAGCGGTCAAAGCCGCAGACAGCCTGGCATGGATACGAGGGAGGCATGATGAGTCAATGTCGCACCTCAAGTCGAGATGGCTCGATGAGTGTTGGCTGCGTCGATTGCAGATGGTTCGAGCGATCGCTGTATGGGACGCATGGGTGCAGTCACCAAGCTACGTGAACTCACGAGGGCATGTCTCGTTGGTAGAACGAGCCGCGCAGGTGTACATGCTGGCACTGCCTCGAATGCTAGGTTTGATGTTTGAACTCAAATTGCAGCGCGCACCGCACGGCTAGAGTCGCTAAGATTTCGAAGCATGCTGGTGAAAAGCCTTGGATGCTATGGCTACGCTGGCATGATGCGGCTGCCGCCGGTAGCTCGAGGCGGGCGATGAAGGACGCATCAAGGTTCGTGATTGCTTGCATCGCGAGTGTTGGCGTGGACGATGGGAAAAATAGCGCATACGTGCTGGTCTGCTCTGAAGCGGAGGAATGGCTTGCGTATCCATCACAGCATCAGCGCAGACTCTATATTCGTGCACGAGGTGCGACAGATTGATCGCGCTAATTGCTCGTGATGGTCCATAGCTCATCGATTCGCAATCGACGCATCGTTGCTGCTGCAGTGGCATGCACGAATTGAGGTCAAAGTCAAAGTGCTACCCCGCCTTGCCTTGCGCCTCTTCGAGCGTCAACAGCAGTTCCCATGAGTCATCATCAGATGGCGTCGTCTGGACATTTAGCAGCAGCAACTGCGCCCAGACTCATTTGTCTTGTTTCGTTATTAAAGCTATATGCGTTTGTTTGCGCGTTCTGTACGCTGTTCGAGCGGCGCTTAATGGCGGGCTTGACGATGCATGATCGCCATCAGCATATGGATGGATGGATGGATGGATGGATGGTTGGGGCGCGCGGTTGTTTTGTGTACACCGGCCGGTACCCGGAGCGAGACTCGTGATTCACGATTGCCATGCAGACTGCTTTGATTGCATGCTGGGCGTACAACATCGATCTGGCTGCGCGCTGATCCTATGTAATGTACGGGTATCATCGAGAAGGAGGAACGACGGTCAGGCTACAATCACGATTGCTGGTGCTGGCCGGCCGACCGGCAGAGGGGTGCGTCGCGCAGTCACAAGTCAAATAGGATGGGACTCGTGCGCGCGATGGCATGGCCGGGTCAGCCATGCATGCCACTCTTGCTTGCTTCTTTGCTCGTGGCTGCGCGCCACACCTGCCCAAATTTGGATTCGTAATCCGTGATCCTCATTCAGATTCGCCATTGTGGTCATCACAATGAAGCCACGGCGGCTGTGCAGTTAGCAGTACATCCGCTCACGCTCACCCACATCTCTGCGGCTCCTGATAAAGGACGATCGAGTCAAGTCGAGCTTCATAGCCACACTCAGGCCGCTTTTCTGCAAATATAGCGCACGGTTCATCTGTGCACCAGCTGACGATACCATAACCTCGCTCCGCTGTCTCCTTAGACCGCCGTCTTCGCGCGTCTGGCCGCAGATCAAGGCGGCACAGACGACTTGGCAGAGCGCGCACTCGAAACAACTCGCTTACCTCTATCTGCACGTTCATCATCGACCACTCTCGACCCTGTCCACCTCCGACTGCACTTGCGGCTGTCATTGTCGAGGAGATCCGGTCCAGCGCCTAGTGCTGGGCTCAAATTGCCAAAGACGTCAGCGCCACAGCCACCGCCCCAAGGGGCTGGTCTCGGCCAGCCTCTAGTGTCGGGTCAGCAGGATGATACGCCATACAGGGACGGCATCCAGCTTCAGCCTCCTGCTGTGAGCGGCGGTGCGCACGCTATCGATGCGGCAGCAGGGATGAGTAGCGGTCACCACGCGCAACAAGCTAGCCAAGGGCAAAATATTGGCTATCCGATGCAGCCTGTTCAGCTGGCTTCTGCTATCTCGCATACACCTGCTGGCTCAGTCTCTGCCCTGCCTCCTTCGACCAACCCAGCCTCTGCCAGCTTCAGCGCAGCGTCAGGCCAAGCACCCACTCGCACATTTGCCGCCTTGCCCCGCAACCGCAGCGCGTCGGGATCGGTGCAGGCTCATCGAAGGAATGGCTCGAGCGCAGACTCGTTCGGATCTTTTCCTTCTTCCTACTCTGTCAACGATTCGGGTTACGCTGTTGAGCACTCTTTTGATGGCATGTGGGGACACTCTACGATGCCGCAGACGCCTGGAGAGCATTCTAAAGTCCAGACGGCTTTCGCGGCTGCCCTACAACAACAGCGCCAACAGCAACAGCAGCAACAAGCTCAGGCCCATGCCCATGCCCAAGCTCAAGCTCAAGCACAGGCACAGGCGCAGGCACAGGCACAGGGCTCGTCACAAATGTTTAGCCATCCTCATCACGACCCATCGCACCCAAGCCATGGCGCTCAATCCAGCCACCAAAGCATGCCTTCCCAAGGTCAAGCTGGCGCCGTCCCAGTCTTGCATGGCTCCCACTCAGCTCAGCCATCCCACGATCTGGCTCAGCAAGCAGGGTTCTTTACCTCTGGAAGCCTGTCAAGTATGCCCACCAGTCAGCCGGCTTTCCAAGACCCATTCTCCAGCTTGATGGATGCAACCACATCCCTCGCCCATCTCAACGCTCCTGGCGCTAGCTGGCCTACGGCTGACGCAACCGGTGCCACGTCCAACGACCCCAACAACTCGCTTACTCCTCGCGCTCTGGAACAAGGAGAGGCGGGTCATGCCCCGCCGTCACAAGGAGCCCAGGCTCACAGCCTGCAAAGCGCAATCTCGGCGGCTCACCAGAGTATGCCTGGACACCATCACAGCCCTCACGCTAGCATCCAGAGCCGCGATGTGCAAGCGATGGGTCCGCCTGGCGTTCAGTCACTGCAACGTGGGCAAGGATTGCCGCCTTCGACCTCGGCTCAATTGCACCAAGCTCGCTCGAGCGCATCATCAGCGAGCGGTCCGGACCACGCAGCGCTCGAGGCAGAACAGAGTAGCGTCGCGGCAATCGGTCAGATTGGATCCTTGTTGGAGGCCGTGGCGGAGCTCGCCATCAACGCGAGGGATCTATTCCTTCAAGGAGAGCATGGTGGGAGCAGCCAGTGCTTAGGCGATCTACAGCGTAGTCTCACCCAGATTGGAGAGCTTGGGTCTCGCAGTGCAGCGCTAGTGCACTCCGAGAGCTCAGAACAGTCGCTGCAGCCGGCAAAGATGGATCCTCAAGATCAGACTCACCGCAGAACAGGCACTATGGACAGCGAGAGTGCGCGCAAGAGGGCCCTACCCGTACTGGAGGAGCTGGACGTCATGCCTTTCAAAACACTGCGAGCACAGGATGGCACGCCTATCGAGCAGCTTGCATCTGCCCCGCCCTCTGCTCCGCCCTCGGCACCTCCAGGCATGATCAAAGCGCCAGGTGTGGGTAATGTCCAAGTTCCTGTACCTCCAATGTCGGCTCCTCCCCTCCACCACACCGTCTCAGCGCCACAGGTCCCTCAGCTGCACACTATCCAGACGCAATTCCAGACCCGCAACGAAGAGGCTGGGCAGGAAGACGGGCATCAAAGTCAGAAACGCTTCCGCACAGCGCAGCACGATTCTTCTCAACAGCAGTCGCCAGTCACACCACATACGCCTTTTAGCCAATTTGTGGCCAATCAGCTTCCCTTTTCGAGCTACGCGCAAGGCTTTGCGCCAATTCCTGCGAATCAGTACTATGATGGTGACGCCAGGTCGCGCAGCCAATCTTCGGCCAGCGAGTCGCTTGGCGGTCTCGGGCTTGCTGCTGACCTGGGTAGATCGGCGCAGTACAACCATCTCACGAATGGCGTAGCTGGGGTGGCCTTGCAGCAAGGTCAACACCAACCGCTTCGCCCGCCCTCGCCCGAAGACACTAGCTTCGAAGACACTCAGGAAGACGTTGCTGATTCCGTTGCTTTAGCAGCTGGAAGGTCCAGGAGGGCAAGTGCAGTTCATGAAGACGGAGGAGATACTCAGAATGACAGCGTCGTGAACAAATCGAGCGGGTCTGCCATCTCTCCGGAGCTGCGCGCTCGACTTGATGTCGTCTTTTTCGAATATCTCCGCGGCGTCTGCTCCGATCTAGAGGCGACCGATAGCCACGGCGATCCGATTCACCAAACGCTCATGCCCAAACGAAGTGAGTTGAGCGCTGCTATTGCATCGACTGCGTTGCTGATTGTCCCCGCTTTCTCTTGCAGTGGCTCGCCTCGAGCAATCAGAAGACTTTCGGCCGTTCAAATTCCGCATCCAGGCATTCACAAATTCCTTTCAGGATCTTGTAGGCCAACGACTCGAACCCGGCGTTTCTGTCAGGACGATCAAACTGTACCTCTGGTCCTCGCCCTACATTTCTCGCTTCGCAAAGAACAGCATGCCATCCGGTCAATTCAGCAAGCACAAGTCCAAAGGCTCGCACATCTACATCATCGAGGCGAAAAAGGTCGCGACGGGATCCACCGCTTCGGACGGCACGCCCATCTCGAGTTGGGACTTTCGCCAATTCGAGCCATGCATCCCCAGCCCTGCGCAAAAGGTGGCGTACACTAGCGGAGACTTGCTGTGGCAGTGGAACGTTCGCGTCTGGCATCCACGACACGCCTCTGTGCGTGCCGTCTACAGCCTTCTTGCGCATCCTGCGTGGGTGAATTGGAAGGATGGCGACCACACAAGCGGTGTTCTGGTCGGCTCACCCGGGCCCGATGGGCAGGGCGGTGAAGTCCGCATCCAGGCACATTACGTCAACGATGGCCAGCTGCACCGTCTGGAGCATGCCTTTCACCTTGCGACCGCAGATTTCGTACCAACAGACAAGAGCGCGACTCAGAGCCTCGAAAGTACGCAGGACGAAGACGCGCACGAGGGAGCAGAACAGGACTTCGCGCCACCTGAAGATGCTGTGATGGCTTCGGCTCCTGGAGAAGCTACTCGGTACGAAGTGATCGATCCTCAACAAGCTCCGCGCGTCTTGTCGCAGATCGCCTATCCGTTCACTCCTCCCGTGTTCAACAACGGCGCATTCTTTGCGCCTCAGGCTCCAATTGATAATCATCGACAGCAGCCTTCCAGAGAGTCGCAGCATGGTCAGGACGGGTCCCCTTTGCGTCCTACAGAAACGGCACTCCCTCCAGCGATCGATCAGAGACAGGGGCAAAATGTACCAGATATTAACCTGTCAAACATGCTAGCTCCTCATCTGCAAGCTCAAGCTGGTCAGGCCCCGCTTGAGCCGCAGAAACAGATCCAAGCCAATCAAGTTCGCGCCATGCTGGAGAGGCAACAAGAGCAAGCATCGTCCTTTCAGCTCTCCCTACCTCCTGAGCGCGCGGCTCGAGCAGCTGCAGCTGCCGCGGCAAATTCGGCCAGTCAGCAAGGACCCATTCCAGTGTCGGGAGGCGCTGCGTTCCAGTCCCATGTTGCAGGCAACCACACGCCCATGTCTTCGCTACCTGGAGATGTTCGCGCAGCTTTGCCTGCCTTTTCGCCGCTGGTCTCTCACTCGGTCATGCCCGGCAATGCTGATCCCATGCTCTCGCCAGCGGTCGCTCTGGACTTTGATCCGCTCGCAGAGCATGCTGCGCAGCTCGAACAAATGCAACGAGCAAATCAAAATGCTCGCCAGTGAGCTGCAGCGGTGCCAACGCATTTCAAGGCACCTTGGCGCGCGCTTTCGGGCTTCTTTCAATTCGCACTCTCATTCAGGCACGCAGGCCGGGCTTCGATCTCCGCGCACCTCTCTCCATCCCTAATCTTGCGCCCTTGTTCCACACCTAACCCGCGTCATCGTCATTGTCCTTTTCTCGAGGTCAGCTTTCGTCATCCGCATCATCACCAGAGGCAACCATGCATCAGACTCTTTCAATCCGTATAGCAAACGTGCCAGCCACGAGCACGAGAAGGTCGTGCTGCTTCCTTGCGGCCAGCTGGTTGCGCCTTCTTCCTACCTTAAACCATCTCACCGCAGTAATCTCGTCCGATCCAAAAATGCGTGCCTTTGCGTCATCAACCGTTCTCTCCCTTTCGCCTTCTTCTGTATCCCAACGCTCCTTTTCCCATTCTCGCTGGTCCAGACAACAAAGAGGCTCTCTCTTTTGGCACGGCGGGCATCTGCTGCTCGCCCGCTGCAACTTTTTCTCGCCTCGAACTTGTTCCGCTTCATCTGCTGCACAGCAACAAATGCATCCACGCTCCTCTCCTCTCTTCCTCGACCAGCCTACATCCTTTCCTTTCCTTTTGCTTTTGCTTCTCCCATTCACCCCTAGCCCCAAATCCTTTTCCCCATCCCCCATCCCTCCCCGAAAACGCGTCACCGTATACTAAAAGTCACTAGAATGTTTCGTTTCCCGCGTACAGTCGAACACCGAAATTCGAAAGGCAAACAAAGAAAAAAGACCCACTCGGAGCGTAGCGTTCTGGCAGCGCGCGCGCGCCCTCCGTAGCCCACTGGCATCTTACCTCTTTCGTCCGAGAAGGCGAAAAAGGATTGAGCGTGAATGAGCGTCGCTTGCGGGTCAAGCAAGCCCAAATCGTAAGCCAGGGGGGGGCACTCAGGAGAGCGATTTGTGAGAGCGTGCAATGATGCTTGAGCGACGAGGGTCGTAGTTGTGAGGGCATGTATTTGAGTGGGTGACGTGTAAAGCATCTTGATTGTTCCGCGCAAATGGTGGGGGGGATGGGGCCAATGGTGCTTCAGACTACTGCTGCACAGCACCGAAATTGGTACGAGAGAAATTTGAGTTAGCCACGCAACGTCTCTCAAGAGCAAGAGCAAAAGGGCAAAAATTGTTGCCTGGGGGGTGAGAAGAGAGAGAGAGAGAGAGGGAGAGAGCTCACCAGATCGTCCTCGTCTCGCGCACGCAACGGCTGAGCCTTGTGCGCCTCCGCCTCCGCCTCTGCCTCTGCCTCTGCCTCTGCCTCTGCGCTCGAATGGTCCATCTCGATCCTCTGACCCTGCTGCACCTGCCTCTCCAGCAGCTCCTCTCGCACCTCTTGCCTTTGCCTATTGGCCCGTGGAGCTTGTTCCAGATCCGCTGCTGCTAGATTGAGGTATTCGGCGACGAATAGACGCATCAACATGGTCCAGCCGTAATTTGTGCCGTAGTCCAATGCAGAGGCGTCGTCCTGCAGTCGCAACCACGATGCGCATGCGAATGGGGATGGAGAGGGGGGGGGAAAGGATATTTGTCAGAGTCTGAGTAGCCGGATGCGAACGGGGGCGGGGATGGAGGCACGACTAATCGTGGAATGTGGGGAAAGACGAGTTACGCACCTGCATGGTGTGCCAAACTGCGGGAAATGGCGTGGGAATGAGATGAAGGATAGGTACTCCATTTGCAAGAAAGGGCAAATGATCATCCTCTATGCCGCCCCACGCATGTCCACCGAACCATTTCTCATCATGCCTGTTGGCTGTCTGATGAGGTGGCCAAAACAGCAATTCCTGCTGCAGCCTCTTTTGAGCTTCGGACAAGCGCGTATTCAACCAGCTGGTGCTGGGGAAATATGGAGGAATCTGTGGATGACTAGCTCCTAGAAGGTCGAGTAGAACTAGGTGCTCTATCGTGTCGATGCTGCGTATAGGCCTTTCGGTCGCAAATCGAGCTTGAGACAGACGCGCTGCTCCCACTGGTGGTGCGTGCGGCGGCGAGTGTGCGGAGCGAGTCCAATTGCTCGCCAAATCCCTTCGAATTTCGGACAGCCAAGGGAAGAAGAAAGAGAAGAGCGGGAAAGGAGAGGAAGCGGCAATGGGGGTTCAACTTTTGCTGGACTTTGTAAAACAAGCCGACGCGCACACGATTGCGTCCCAGCACTCCCCACGAGATGAGAAAGGTGCCACACACTTACTTGCTGCCATATATGCTATCTGTGTGCGTCCACTGTCCATAAGCTTCTTCGCCGTCGAAAAAGATGAGCTGCAAAGTCACGTCCGATCCTTTACCCTTTCCTTCCTTGGCATACCTCCTCTCCGCCTTGTCCAGTGCCGCATCGAGGGCAATAGCGGTATCGACGATGATGGCGCAGGGGGCAGCGCTATCCGTCGCGCCCAAAAAGCCTCGTGGCAGCACTTTGGAATCGTAATGAGCGGCAAGCGTAAGACGTCTAGGACTAGCTGGATTCTTGGTGATGACCAGATTAGTCATCTTTTTCATTCCATGCGGCGTCTTGGTCTCAAAGGGCAACGTCTGCACGTGCCAGCCCAAAGATTTTGCATCCCTGTTCAAAGCTTCAAAAGGCTCCTTGAGCGCATCCAACACCTTTTTAGAGCCTGCGCTTTCCGGCACGCGCGGGATGAGGATGCGAGAGAGGAGAGAGGTGCGATCTCGATGATCTACGAATCGAGCGGGATCGCCTAGAGCTGGGATCAGCGAGAGGTTCTTCAAGCGCTCGAAACGCTTCTCCAGCGACGCTTTGCGCTGAGCTGTGCTCGCTGTCACCAGCAGCAGCAGGCACAGACCCATGCAGATCACAGCGCTCTGACTTGTCCAGGCCCTGCTGCTCCCTCTTGAAGTCCATGTCGACCTTCTCCTTCTCCTGCTGCTGCTGCTGCTGCTGCACGTGGTGGTGGTGTCGCATCTCCGGTTGACACTTCTGCAGCCGTGCTGGCTGTTGCTGTTACAGCGAGATGGTGCGCCTGCTCGACTGAGCTCGCGCTCCTCTTCACACTGCTCCTTCACACCCGACGGCCCAGCTTCATTCCCGGTCCCCGCCCACCACGAGACTCTTTCCCACCGCATCCTAGCTCGATCTGTCTGCGGGTGTCGCACCGACCGAGGGCGTCAAAGGGGGTTGTGAAAGATGAAGGTGGGGGGATTTGGAAGAATCTTGGGGGAAAGAATAGTCGCAACTCGTAGACTTGGCCTTTTGATTATTGCCGCCCCCTTTTTTCTTGCAAGCTTTGTATTCTTGATAGCAGCAGTCCTACGTGTGTGTGTGTGTGTGTGTGGATGGTCGAGGCAATACGCGCGCGCGTTTTATTTGCCGGAGAAAGATCCAAGATTGCAAGAAAGCTTGGACGTGACGCTCGCACTCGGAAGGAAGGTGCGCCGTCGCCCCTTCTCTGCGTATGCGTGAGGTTTGGATGGTGGCAAAAGGAGGCTAGCAGGTGCGCATGGTGAGGCGAGCGCCAGCATGTATCACTCGATTGCGCAAGCTTGATCTTGTATCTTGTATCTTGCGCGGGCGCAGAATTCGCTTGGGTGGGCGTATACACGTGCGCGTGCACTACGGTCTGTCTGTACACTCACGGCTTTGTATGAGCAGCGCTTATAGAGTCAAGATCGAGTGATGTGAGTGTGAGTGTGAGTGTGAGTGTGAGTGTGAGTGTGAGTGTGAGTGTGAGTGTGAGTGTGAGTGTGAGTGATAATGTATACCGCGGTCTTTGTAGCTGTGCCAGCAGCAGCAGCAGCACCAGCGCAGCGTTTGTGGAATACGGCAGACCGCGGTGGCTCGAGTGATTCAATTGACAATTGAAGATTGTGATGGCCGGCTAGCTGCTGACTGCTCGCGTAAGTCGCACAGCACATATGCACTTGAGCAGCAGACGATCCTCCGTCGGCGTTGATGATTTTTATTGCTAATCGTTGGTATAATGAAGGCATGCAATGGAATCGCATGGGCGTTGGGCGTTGGGCGTTGCATGGGCGTTGGGCGTGATGGGCAGTCAGCAGTCACACTCACACTCACCGTCCTTTCAGCTGGCGCAGCAAAAGAAGGGGGCGACGAGCACGCGCACGGGCGCGCGCGCATCGAGATTCACATTTGCACGCATACAATAATGTGAATGCGAATTAATAGGCAAGAGCGATGCGATGCGAGCGCGGCCAATTCAAGCTCTGCTCTGCGAAAGGGTCCGTGCGCGAACAGCTACAGCTATATATATGCACAGCGACCCATACTCTGACTCCCCTTTCTATACCGCCCGGCCCTAGCGGGAGCAGCAAGAGTCACCACTTCTGCTGTACCATCGGCGGAGCACATCACGAGCAGCGTCAGTCACTTCAAGCTATTCTTGTCCCCAATTGTGATTGCTATTACGCAAGCACATTCGTGTTTGCAAGGGAGGAAAAAAAAAGCGGCAAAAACAGGTCAGATCAAGCGTTGAATGGATCAATTCTAAGGGCAGGCCCGGGGCGGGGGTCATGTCGTGCGGTCGTCGACGAATACACTTTGCCCTCGCGGTGCATGTTGGCGTGCTGGGTAAGAATCTGGGGGCATGGGGGGGGAGCGAGCCGCAAGTCACATTGATATGAGTATAGTATTTTATATTACACGTGGGAGATGGTCTGAACACAGCAAAAGGCAAGGAAAGGGCGAGAAGAAAAGCGGGGGGGAGAGGGCGTGGCGTAAAGAACGTGGGATGCCGAGGAAACAAAGGGGTTTGGCGGAGAAAGTCTTGATGAGCAATTCTCATGTGCCAAGTCGTTTATCTGTAGATTGGTAACATGACCATAATGATGCCGCGGGAGGCATTCAAGAGCACAGAGATTGCGCACCCAAATGTAACAGGTGAAGAAGCGACTAGAAGTGGAGGGGCGAGGGTCGAAGTGGGTAGGGTGCGCAGATCTTGCGCAGTCGTCAAGGCATCGCTTCAAGGAGAGAGGGGCGGCGAAGGAGCAAGATGTTTCCATCTGGGATGAGAGAGCATGCTAGGTCTATCCGCCATGCTCAACGATCCTCGTCTAGCGTGCTCCCTCACCGCAGCCTGAGCATCTTCCCTGACCAAAAAGGGAGAAGGTGGACGCTGCACAGGCGTCTGTCGACCGCTCGACGACGACGACGTTGCCCATTCCCTCTGCATCGCGCCGCGGTCAGGCTCAGCTTCGCCTTGACCTGTGTCCATGTGCATACCGCCTGCCGAATCCATCCATGCGCTCTCCACCATCCCGATGTCCGCCTCGGACTGCGAGACGGGGCGCTGCGCGTGTGATGCCGCGTGATATGCAGCTCTTGGAGCCCCAGTAGCCCAACCAGTACTCAAAGATCTTTTGGGTATACTCGCCGGACTCCTCAATGTTTGAAAAGCAGGCGATATGGGTGATCTGCCCACCTCCGCATCGTGCAAGCTTCTTCTACGATCCCCGCCTCCATCCCCTAGCGGTGAAGGTCGAATGGGAGTGTGCGAATGCATAGAGGAGCCCGACTTGCGTATGGGACTTTGTGGCAAGGTGGACTCGGAGCTCCATCGGGCAAAAGGTGCAGAGGGAGGGGTCAAGGTAGGTGGCACGTCCTGTGTCGAAGCGTGGGCCCACGATTGTCAGCGTGCCCATCGATTCTCCTGCATGGCAGTCATCCATCATCCTTTCCGCGTGGGAAAATGCGCGAACAAACACCATTCGCAGGCACACTGATGACGCCCCACTCACCTCGTCCATGGCATCCCCACTGGGCACATATCCGCGCGCTGCTGGTTCTCCTAGCTGCTCTGATAAAAACTCAGGGCCTGCCATCGAGTGCCGTGTCCAATGCTCGCTCGGCGCAGGCTGCAAGAATGCAGCCGACAATGCCTGCTGTCCTCTGCTACCCGTGCCATTCGCATCCACATCCTCGTCCATTCCCGTTCCCAGTGCAGCAACCGCAGCTGCAGCTGCACTCATCCTGCCCCGATCCGACTCGACTGACGACGACGACGATGCCTGATCATCGTAGTGCGCATACACAGTGTTTGAAGCGCTATCGTGGCGAAGCAGAATGCGCGCATGTCGATTTGGGCTATGGTGCGGGGATGCGACAAGCAGCTGTGCCCCTTGCTCCTCGTTCGCCAACCTAAAGTTTGTAGGCGTCTGCGTCCTAGCTCGCAAAAAGGGACGTTTCTAGTGCGCATTGTTCGGGCCAAGCAGCAGCATGCAAGCTGAGTCAATCACTCGTATTCCCCCAGCCACACCTGCTCCACATGCAACTTGATCAACCGCAACCCACAACACAGCGCTCACCTGCGTGCCCCCCTTGATCTCTGGCGAAGAGGGAGAGGAGGAAGAGTGGCTTTCGCTCCTTCTTCGTTTGAGCGTAGGACTTTGAGCCCAATTGGAAGGTCCAGCCTGACCCTCTAGGGGCCGCATAGCTTCAGACCAATGCCCCACAGACAATTCGTGCAAGCTTTGACGAAAAGGATGAGGAGGGGTGAATTGGGTTGGAAAGGAGCAGGGGGACGAGGACGAGGATGAGGATGATGATGAGGATGAAGCCATGTGCGAATCCTCATCGTGATCCGGATCCCTAGCTCGATCTGCATTCGACTCCATGGCTAGCAGCAGCTCTCGCTCTCGCTGGCCATTCATCCTGACCCGCTGAGCGAGCAGAGACGCGAGATGGGATGGTGCGCCGCGCTGATATAGGTGGAGCTGCGAGCACCGAATCGCGCGTCCGCGTGCGGTGCGGTGCGGTGGCGTCACAAGGGCGTCATGGGCAGGTTGAGCAGTGGTGATGGGGGTGGGGGATGCTCAGTCCAAGACCCACCGAGGTGAAAGCATGGAGAAGTCTGAGTCAAGTGCCTTAGGTGCTGTGATGGTCTGTATAGTCCCGCAAGCTGAACACACCCAGCATGCTCGTAACGCCATCGCGAGCAAATCGTGAATAGAAATTCGTGATTTGAATGTCTCACACGTCACCGCTGCAGACGCAAGTCTGCTGGTCGCGCGCTGACTGGTGACTGACTCCTTCATCTTTGAGGCTCCGATCACGGCCAGCCTTGAAGGCGCATGCATGCCATTGGCCAGTCACCAATCACGTAGTTGGTCACGAGTCACGCGTCACAAGTGAAGTCTTGAGTCACGAGTCGCGCGTCACGATCCAGTTTGAGTGTAGGCACATGCAACGTGCAAGCAGCCCATGTACCAGCTTTTCAGATTTTGACGTTGCATAATAATAAAGTCACGAGTGTGAGTTACGAACGAGTCAAAAGTCACAGTCACAGTGCAAGTCACGATCGAGTGCCGTATGTGTTGCAAAGGCGCGGTCTGTCTGCTTCGACGATATAGATCACCGCGTAGCGTACCCGTGCTGCCTTGCTTGCTTCTCTCTGCCGATGCATGGTGTAATCGCACGCACGCACGCACGCTGCGCGTCTGAGGATCTCGCTCTTAATTGGCCAGTCACAGTGGTGAGGAAGCGAGTAGGTGCTGGGTGGGTGGCACGGGCCACTTGACCTTGACCGCAATTCACATTCACGATGGTACGTTTCGCTTGAAGATTCAAGTTGGTTGGAGCTTATGTTCACGAGCAGCATACGGTACATGGAGTCGCATTTATTCAAGATTGACAATCAATAGGCGCAGATATCAGCCAGCGCGTCGATATACGGTAATCACGAATTGCCCAGCTCTTGCACCTGGCGCTCATGGCTTCATGCTCACAGGCCCGGGCCCCGGCAGCATCAGAGTCTCAACAGAAGAGAGTCAAGTGCGAGCTCAGGCATGTTTGTTTGCATCGCAATCACCAACATACCCTCTGCGTGCCAGCTGACGTGCACACCGCGAGTCTTGTTGCAGAGTCGTGGACTCGCAGTCATGCGCAACACATCTTCGCTACAGAGGTGCCAACGCTCGTGGATAAAGGACAAATGGTACGGCACGGCAGAATGGATGACCCGCACAACGTTGACAAGCAGAGTCGCTGATCATGAATCATGAATCGATTCAATGTTGAATGCAATGAATGTCATTTCTCAGTCTGCTGGGGATGGAAGAAACAGACGTGTATGGACGACGTATCATATCCTTCCCCTTGTCCTTCCTTTGAGCGCAAGAGTCCTACTAGCAATCATGAGCAATGTGCCAGCAGTGACGCAAGCACCAGCAAAGCCTGCAGAAGCCCACCAATCAAAAGGAGCAGCAGATCCAAGAAGAGCTCCACTAGCCGGCGTACCGAACAATCCTCCCAAGCTGCAAACAAAGAAGCACATGCCTAATCTTGTTCCAAAGGTGCTGGTCGATCCTAGTTGACCTATGGCCGAGGGGATCAGCGAAACGTAACAGCCGGAAGAGTATCCGTAGAGGATTGCAAAGGGGATCAGACCAGCCAGGGATTTGATGGCGAGGGGAAAGACAAAGACGACTGCGACGTGAAGAGGAAGCGAGGTGAGCGGAATGCAAGGGAAAGGAGAAAAGCTTTGAGCTCATGCAGCAATGCGAGACTTGACGCGGCCTCGTCATACGCACGGATGGACGACAGGATCAAGTGAGGCAAGACCGTATTCATCCGTCCGAACCTATCCGCCACGAATCCAGGTAGCACGCGTCCAAAGACGCTTCCAGCGTTGAGCACCGAGAGCCAATAGCCGCTTGCAGGAATGTCGTACGTCTGAGTAGCGACGTCCATATAAGTGAATGGGGTGTAGAGGCCGAACAAGATGAGCATAGCTCCGAGCACAAAGCAAGCGTAAGCTGGTTGTCTGAAATGCTGCAATTCGAAAAAGGAAATGTGCCTCCATCCGCCGTTTTTGTAGGATTGTGTGGGAGGTAGACGGGTAGGCATGGTGAACCAGGCAAAGAGGAGCAGGGCCAAGGCGAGGAAGCCGACGACTCTTTGAGCCCAGGCGTAGCCGATGGACGAAGGATCTTGCAGTTTGGTCAGCATGATGGGTAGACATATGCCACCTGCTGACGAGCCGCTTGCCAGAATGCCCATAGCAGTAGCTCTTCTCTTCGAGAACCAGTGGCTCGGCACAGCCACCGAAAGGTTGAATACGATTCCGAATCCAAGTCCTAATCCCACACCTTGAGCCAAAAAGAATTGGTAGTACTCTTGGCATAGGGAGAGCAAGAATTGCGAAAGGATGAGGATGACCATGCCGATAGTCAACAAGGGTCTGTACAATCCAACATCAAAAGCTCTGCCGGCAAAGATGCCAGACGAAAAGATTCCGGCGTACTGAAATGCGCCAATCCACGCAATCTGACTCGAGCTCTTGTCCGGTAGGAAGTGTCGAGCGTAGTACTCTTGATAGATGCCAAAGGAGTTGGCAAGTCCGAATGTGATGAAGGAGCAACACCATGATCCTGCTATCATCAACCAAGCTCGATGTCCACCTTCTGGAAAGTATACTTGTCCATCGCCCGTCTCTTTTGCCATCTCTTTTTGCATATCCAGCACCTCCTCATCCATCTCCCCGCTCTCTCTCCTATCCATTGCCTCGGCCCCTTTCTCCACATCCCGCGCTGCTCCTGCCAGGTTTGTGGGGCCTTGATCAGTCACCTCGATTGTATTTTCAGCAGCTCTCGATGACTCGAGTCTTGTCGTCTCTCGTTGCGAAGCATGCACAGAGCGTGACATTGCCGCCCTGTCCTGTCCTGTCCTGTCCTGTTACCATGCACCACGTTTGACGCTCTCGACTCTGCGGTGTGGGTCTATTGTATCAGAGAGGCGGGGCGGCCAGGCGTCGCATGTGTCAGTCGTGCAAGTTGAAAAGTTTGCGAAAGCGAAAAAAGAGGATGGGAGTCCAAGAGTGCAAGCAAGACAGACAGACGTACTGTGACTGTACATGGAGCAAGCATTTGCTTCGAACCGGATAAATCACATCGAACATGGCCTGGCCTGGCAGCCTCAACAGCAAGGGAGTGGAGAAGAGCCGGATGGCGTCCGAGCGGACCAACTTTTTGACGAGACGAGCAGCAGCAGCAGCAACAGCAACAGCAGCAGCAGCAGCAGCAGCAGCAACAGCAACAGCAGGCGGCTGCGGGCATCAGCATCGATCGAGCAAGTTCGGCAAAACCTCTTTGGCAGCTACAGTACAGTACCGGTACACTGCACGCGCAACGCGGGGGAATCATGTGCTTGGGCCGCGCGTCGTGCATGGCCGTGTGCAAATTCTCCGATCGGAGCTAGTGCATATATCATGTGCAGGGGGCAAGCGCGTGCGGGGTAGCATACGAAAGTTCTAGATTCCCGCCGAGGCTTTTCTTGGTTTTGACGTACGGTACATGTACGCGCTGCTGCTGCTGCTGGTGACTTTGAAGCGTTCGAGGCGTCCGATTGTGATGAAGGATGTCGCTGGAGAGAGGCAAGGGGCAATCGCAATGAGGCAGAACCTTGCACAGGCTCACACTCGCGCGTGCTTCATGCTCTGCTCTTCATCCATCACGAATGCGGAGCTGGGCGATGCAAACGTTTTGCAGGGAGCTTAGGCGTGATTCAAGAGAATTTTATAAAGAGCAAAGAAGAAAGTCGATTTGGATCACTGTACCGTACGCGGCATCCCGCACTCGTTGGACTCGATGATTGCAAGGGCGAACGGGATAAGCATCGCAAGAAGGAACAGATAGAGCACCGCGCGAGCTTTGAACGTTGGAGCGGACAGCGCAGACGTAAGCCGATATCTCGAGCTGCTTCACACTCACGACTGGGCCTGCTTGCACCAGAAGGGCGCAGGAGCGGCGCAGCGCATCGCATCGCATCTCGCGGGGCAGAGCGTGTGACCCTAGCCGCTTCCCTTTTGTTGCATCAACAACAACGCCTTCTCTGCCCACTTTCTGACAGCACCGTGGCTGGGCACCATCCTTTGCATCATGTCCTCGACGTGGAGAAGAGCTTTACCAGGAGTAGCCAACTCCCTCAAAGTTGCCTTTCAAGGTTTCTGTCTTGGCAATCTGATCAGCAATCACATGTTCGAAATTCGACCGTCTTCGGGATCATCCATGCTTCCCACGCTGCTTCCCAAGGGCGACTACCTGCTACTGGTCAAGCTGGATCTTCTCCACGCTTGGCGAAGCGCATCCTTTCCAGCCTTGATGGGTCAAAGCGAAATCGACCAATCTTTCACGGCTCTACAATCCTCCACCAAACCTGGCAAAGGCTATGCAGACTCGCTCAAGAGCCTCAAAAGAGGCGAACTGGTCGTCGCTGCCCATCCCATCGATCCCGAAAAATGGGTGTGCAAGAGGATCATAGGTTTGCCAGGCGATACGGTGCTAGTAGAGCCACGGTGCATCAAAGTGGACAATGGCACGTCTTCTCCTCTCACAATTCGTACGCATGCTCAAGCTCAAACCCAAGCATCCGATCCACTCATCGATCACACCTTGAGGGACATCTTGCCGCGCGATCTGCAAGAGCTTCTGGCGCTAGGGAACAAGAGCAGCGAAATGGAAGCTGCTCTGCATCAACATCGCGCAGATGGTACTGGAGGAGAGGCGCCGCTCCAGTCGATAGCGCGCGACAAGTCGCCGTGGGAGGAAGCTCTATCTCATCATCTCTCGACCTTCTCGACGCGCAAAGCACCACCAGCACTCACCGCCTTCAACGTCCGTCCAAACAGCAACGACGAGTCGCAATCTTCGAATGCATCCCTCCTCTCCAAACAAATCGCATCACCTTCCCATCCTCCTCCTCAATACGTCACCATTCCCGCCGGACACGTCTGGCTAGCAGGCGACAACACCTCTTCTTCCAGCGATAGCAGGTACTATGGACCCGTACCCATCGCGCTCATCAAGGGCAGCGTCGTCGCCAGAGCTTTTCCCAGTCCAAAGTGGATGAGGAGCACGAGCGCTTTGAAATGGATGGATTGAAAGGCGCACCGCCGCCGCCGCCGCCGCCGCCCCCTACCTCGTTGCATTAGTGCAAAGTATCGTCAAAAGGTGACAATCACACTCATCGCTGCAGGAGGCCACAGGTACGCACATGAATACACACCTCATCACGCCCAGCAGCGGCATCACGGCAGCGCGCTGCAAGACTTATCGATTCATGATGTAGGCAAGATGCGCATCAGGCGCTTTTCATATTGGCGGAGAGATGAACGACCAAGGGGGGTATCCACGAGGAGCGATGAAGTGTAAAAGGGCGGGAGCAGCGTAGCGACTCTACGGAGGAAGCGCAATGGCGCCTCGGACGCTCACAAGACGGGCGTGACGTGCGGCTTGGCCACCTGCTCGTCTACACCATTTGCCACTTGCTCGAGCTGCGCTCGTACAGTTGGGTGCAGCGCAGCAACGACGTCCTGAATATTTCCAGCGATGCTTCTGAATCGTTCAAAGACGGGCACGGGGTCCATGGGCGATTCGAACCCAATATCCTCCTCATCAGCCTCCTCATCCTCCTCATCCGCTTCCATATCCTCGAAATCTTCCGCGCTCTCTCCCGTCGCGATGGCCAGGTTGCGCGACCTCAGACGAGCACCTTCCCTCGCCAGCATTTCCAGATACTCGTTCTCTTCATCCACCACATCCCCATCCGCATCGTCGCCAGCAGAAGCGCCACCATGAACAGTAGCGGATTCTTCTTCCGCCTCTTCAACCTCGTCTTCATCCAAGTCGTCAAAAAGCTCCAGCTGTTCCTTGCGTTCTGCAATAGCTTGCGGCAGTCCCTCTAGCACTTCGATCGTAGCCGCAAGCAGCTGGGGCAAAAGCGCCTGCACATCGTTGGCCAACGAAGGGCGAGGCAGGGCGAAAATGCCGCAAAAGGCGCTCGCAACCACTTTGCGCGAGTGGACATTGCCGAAATGAGAGACGTCGGTGATGATGGTGTTGAGAAAGCTAGCTGCTGCGTTGTGCGTCTCGAGCGACTTGAGTGCCAGGGCGGGATTGTAGACGAATGCGTCGAGAATGACCAATTTGGACCACTTGCGAAGCGAAGCGGAAGATTCGCGCCCTTCCGCCTTGACGTGCGGCAGCGTCATTTGCACGATGCCCGGCACCGCTTCGTCGATGGTGCCCGTGAGAAGTAGCAAGGCGACATCGATGAGCTTGAGAGCAGATACGCGATCCACCACGCCCAAATTCTCATTCGTCATGCCGATTTCGAAAATCTCCAACAACATGCGCCGATAATCGGGTTGGGATTTGATGACTTCTGTGCCGTAAGAGACGATGTTGTCGAGCGTGGGCAGCATCTCGGACAAGTAGTCGATGCCGGACGCTTTAAAAGTGGTGTGCAGCTGGACAAAGATGGACCACATGCCTTCCGAGACGCGCTTCTGATTGAAGACGATGACGTCCGTCAGGTCCAGCACATCGTCGTAGAGTTCTAGGAGGCGCGGCTGGGCGAGTGAGTTGCTGCCATCATGACAAAGAGGGCATTGGTGGATACTCACCGACGCATTCCTTTTCGAGCGTGTAGCTGACCACTGGCAAAATGACCGTCTCGAGCTGGCCCAGGAGTTGTTGATTTTCATCAGCAGCCGCAAGCACTTGATACATGGTCTGACAAGCTGCCACCGCAGCGAACACTGCGTTCGAGGGGGCGAGACCGCGGGACAGGGCTTGGTCAGGTACATCTGGACTGTGCTCCTGACAACAACTTCCACTCACTCTTGCTTTCCGCCGAAGGATTGTAGTCCAGCTCGCCATTGATGTTGTTAAGCTCAGCGTCGGCATTCGCCAAATGCTCGCCGAGCACTCTGATGTACGAGTCCCGAAGGTGCTGACAAAATTCCACAGCAAAGGGTAGGATCTGTTCGGCAAAGGAGGATACGACCTTGCTGGTGGTAGCAGAGAGCGTATCCAGGTCCGTCTCGTCTGCCAATTTGAGCAGGCGCTGCATGAGCGGTCCGGCGTTGGGCGCCATGGCCGCGTGCACCTCGTCGTGATCGATTAGCGTACCAATAGCTGCGGCAGCTTGCATGCGCACCGGCAACTCGCCATCCTCCAAGCATTGCATTACGCCCTTGAACGTGCTTTCCAAATTTGTAGTGTCCTGCCACCTCATCGTACCAGCAAAGACGCGCACCAAATCGCAAGCGCGAAAACGCAAAAAGCGATTCCCGCTCGCCAATTCCGGAATGACCGAAGTGACAAAGAGCGTCTCGAGCTGATTCGAAATTTCTGAGGACTCTAGGATGGTATCGGAGATGGAGACGAGCATGTTGAGCGCACCTTCCTTTTCGTTGTTTGTTCGCGTCTGTATGACGGAAGTGATGAACTGCAGCTGAGGATGAAATGTCGACTTGGTGCGCTTGGAGATGAGGGCTTGCAAGAACGAAGCAGCCGCACCTTGAGGCGTGCCAAACTCCTCGATGGGATCCAGATGGCTTCGCACGTAATCCACCGCGTCCAGCTCCCACAGCTCCTCGTCGGCTTCGGTGTAGCACATGAGTGGGAAGACGAAGCGCTGGACGAGATCATCAACATGAGGCTTGAGCAGAAGCCAAGTGGACTTTGGCTTGACGCAATCCTCGTAAAAGGCAATGATAAAGTAGTGCGCCTTTTTGCTCAGCCACAGTCCCGAGTTGAGTCGCGCAACAGTGAGCTCGAGGTAGACTTCGAGGATGCGCGGAGCAAAAGTTGAGACAAAGTGTTCGGCAAACGGCTTGTACTTGTCCAAGCTCTGTGGCAGTTGACTGGGATTGCCGTAGCTAAGACGATCAAAGGGCGTATGCGAAGTGAGCGGCGATATATGCAACGTCTTTTCAAAAGAAACCCTTTGCACATTGCTACGCACCGGGTGAAGAGCTTGTTGAGGTTGAAAAAGGACCACTTCTTGGCCTTTGTCCAAGGAGCTCTCTCCCTCTCATCCTCATCAGCAGGCAGCTGACTAGGATCGACCTGATGCTTGACAATGGCGATGAAGAGCTGACCCCAAGGCACGATGGATTGGTGCGATTGGTGATGGGCAGTGAGTTGAGAGTTGATAGAGAGCTTGTACACCTTGACCAGCTTCCAAAGCAGCTCCCCACTCTGTGCCGACGATGCGGTGGGCGATGCGAGGATGGACTGGCCGGTGGCTACGAGGCGGGGCAGCGTCGCTGCCGATACCGGCTCCAACAAGGATGACTCGTCCTTCCACCTGCAAAACGTCAGCGACGCATCGACCAGGAATGTTCAGCATTTGACATGGGCGGATCGTGAGCGGACATAGACGGTGTATGCGGGCAGACACTCACCTGAACGATCTGACCACCTCCAGCAAAGCGCAAACACCGCCATACGTAGCATTCTGATCGCCTGAATTGAGCAATTCGCTTATCCTATCTATCAGATCCGGCCAACTCTTTGGGAAATCGGTGGTGACGATGGCGTTGAGCGTAGCAGCTACGTGGGATCTCAATGGAGGAGGAGAGGAGATCAAAGTTTGCAAAATGTTCGATCTAACCTCTTGCCTGTCCTTTTCCCCGATCGGCACGTTGTTCGATGGACCGCCAGCTGCTGCACCTCCTCCGGCTTTGGCAAGATTGATGGCTCGTTCGTGATCCCACATGCGCCGAGCGCGGTTCTTGACGTAGCTGTCGTGTGCGTGCAAAGTGTTTCCAACATATTGAGCACTCGCGTTCGCATTCGCATTCGCGTTCGCACTGGACGCGGCCTCTGCTACCACACCACGCTGCGGCGCGCTTCTCTACTCACATGGCGGCCGCTTGTCTGCCCGCAATGTCCAGCTCAGGGTGGGCTACAATCTGTAGGGCGGTGGCGAGCATGCCATCTTGCTGCTCCAATTTGCGCAATTCCAGCTCAGCAGCCAATCGATGATTAGGATTCGCACTGCGAGTCGGCCGTCACGAGTGCGTTGAAAGGGGGGAGGGAGAAGAAAGAAGGTTTAGTTTGCGAAATGTCAGCTAGCTGAGGCAAGTCGCTGCAGCACTGTCCACTGCAAGCGTACGGACGGCGACAAGGGACGCACTCGAAGCTGGATGCGAAGAGGTTGTACAGCTGCTCCATGATCTTTCCCCACCAGGTTTGGGTTTGTAGCAGAGATGCGCGGCTGGATGTGCCGAGTGAGATTGAGGTGTGGGGTGGTGGTGGTGGTGTGAATGACGATTGAAAAGTCACACAGATCCGTCAGAGTAGTCGAATTTGAGGGGATGCGAGACAGCGAGTGGGGGGTGTGAGTGGGGTGTGAGAAGCAATCAAGAATGAGAGGTTCTTCTGTGCTTGATGCTGCCGGTCGATCAGTCACAGTCACAGACAGTAGTCACTAGCCACGAGTGTTGATGCCAATCACCATGCAATCACAATGTGAATGTGAATGTGAATCTTGAATCCAGAATTCTTTGAACCTCGAATCACGAATCACGAATGCGAATCTCCAATTTTGAATTGAGCCTCTTTGAATGTGAATGTGAATGTGAATGTGAATGTGAATGTGAATGTGAATGTGAATGTGAATGTGAATGTGAATGTGCATCTTGATTCAAAATTCACATTCTTGATTGAACCTCGCAACGTGTCCACCTCTACTCGATCCGCCTGCTGCTCCCTCTCCCTCTAGCTTCCGCGCGTGATCCAAACCAAACCAAACCAACATCATGCACCTCATCGCGCATGCATGCATGGCGCCACCTTGCCCGTCCGCCGGCCAATAAAGCAACGAAAAAAGCTCCATCGAGCAACAAAGAAAGAAGAAAAAACAAAAAAACAGAAAAAAATTGTGATCAAGCCTCGCTCCGCTACACTTTCCGCGAGCAGCTGCAGGCAGACAGCCCGCTATAGCAATATAATCGCACGAAACAATCTCAATCAACAACTCTCACTCGAATCGCGAACTCGATCGATCCGCACCTCAAAGCTGGCCTATACGCTACGCTATACGCTTCACACACGCCCCATCAAAACGCGCCATAGACGCACCACACCAACTTTCTCGTGCAGAAAACCCATCGCAGCACTTATGATGCGCGCGCGCGGTTGCGCGAGGACGCGTCGCGTCGCCTCGCGTCGCGTCGCGTCTCGCGATGATCTTTTCGTGCCGTGTTGCGTTCACGATTGCTTGATTGATATTTCTCGAGCCTCATCAGTCGCAACGTGCGACCGACTTGTGCATGCATGCGACTCGCAATTGAGCAAGTTTGCGCCCGTCTTGTCAAGGGGGCATAAAGACGCACGGACTACCGCAAGCCGGGTCGGGTCGTATTTCTCCCTCGCATCATATGCCCGCCCCGCGCCCCGTCTTTGTTTCGGATCGCTTGCTACAAATGCTGCGCAGTCGCGATGACTGTAGACCGTGATAGCCCCCCCGTCTACAACGATATCGGCCATCGCGGCAGAATACCGAGTTCTGGCCCTTCAGATGGAAAGCAGTGACACTTGCGTGTTCGGATTCGGATTCGCTGCAGCCGCAGCGTGGCATGACTTTGTGACTCGCGCGACATAGTGAGGGGAGGGGCATCGAAAGCAGCAAATGTCCTGAGCAAGAGATGAAGGAAGAGGCGAGGCGAGGCGAGGCGCTCGATCATTTTTCGCCTAATACTTCTTGGGCAATGGAATTTTGGAAGCCCACTTGATTCTGGAGCTCATACCCATGCGCAGCCACAAGAAGCCTGCTAGAGCGCCAAAAAGGTGAGAGACGTGCGAATCTTTCCTCGAGTTACCGAAAAGAGTGCCATAGCCAGCTCCAAGAAGCATGGCCCTGCAAGGCGAGATCGAATGGGCAGGAGAGGCAGACAATAATGTGCGATATGCGTGGACGGCGTCAGCGTACACAGAAGGATCAAGGCAGGCATCGCGTCGATGAGAGAACTCACGTCAAGACCATCCCGTTGGTTATTGTCAATGCCTTGACAGATCAACGCGTCCGCGTAGAAAGGGTCGAGCAGGGGCGCGTCTCAGCTTTCCAGCTCCTATGCCGATCGGTATTCGAGCGGGTCGTAGGAGTCTAAAGGCGACAAAGGCCGAGTCAAAACTCACAATGTGACGAGGAAATAGGACGATGCCTTGTTGCGAGGAAAAGTAAGAAGCGGTTGCTATACCGTAAATGGCACCTGAGAGAGAAACGATGTGACGTGAAGACGGCTTTGATCAGATCCTGGGTCATCAAGATGGCCAAAGAGAGGGCACTGTACGCACCGGAAGCACCGTGCAGTAGGCGGGCGCTTTGACGCTCCTCGTCGGCATTCCTCCAAGAGCACACTTGGGCAAGCATCGGATCCACGTATTCGTCCCAGACCACAGTGGCACCAGTGGCTACGATGCCGCTCGTGAAGTACAGACCGAGCCATCCTACCGGTCCTAAAAGCCTCACTAGAGGTCGTCCAAAGATAAACAGGAGCTGTGTAGAAGGGCGCGCGCGAGGATGGAAGAATCAGTGTCTGGTGCATCTCTACTGCTTTGAGGATCACACCACACGCACCACGAAGTTGCCCAAAGCATGCCTGTGATTGCGCGATCGAGTCAGCAGAGTTGACCGAGGTGTCATTTGATTGAAGCTCTGCACACAGACTTACTGCAAATCACTATGACTGAACATGGCGGTGACCAATGTCCAATATTTGCCGTTCCTCAAATTCTCCATCGAGCAGCATATATTGCTGCTCATCCAAAGCAACCGTCGAGGATCTTTGCGCTCCGACCAATCCTCATAAGCTCTTCTCCACATGCGCCAGATACCTATCCAGACGGCAAGGAGAAGCCAAACAAGCATGGATCGATATTTAAAAAAGAAAGAGTGGGTGAAGTTCCAGGCAAAGGTCCAGCTGGGCCCCTTTGCGGTGATGAAGCTACCTTTGGCCAGGAAAGGTCCTTTCTCAGCGTGCTCCAAGAGTTGAAGCGTATCTGCAAAGTCGTCGAGCTTGATGTCGCCTCGATCCAGTTCGTCCACGATATGCGGGTAGTCGTAAGCGATTTGCTCCACCACCGCTTCGAATTCCTTTTGCTGTATCTCCAACCTCCTCTTGTGCTCCTTGCTGATCTCTTCCCAAGCCGCGTCTCTTCTCGATCGAGCCAATTGTGGTGAGAGTTCGCTACCTCCGCCCCAATCGTCGTATTTCCTTTTACGCAACACTTTTTGCTTTTTCATGATCTCATGCACCCAATCGAACTTGCCCTCTGGCTTCTCCTTCTTTGGCCTCTCCTTCTCCGTCTCCTCCACCTCTCCTCTCTCCCGCTTCTGCTTCTTGACCGCTTGAAAAGCCTCTTGATACTTGATCGAACCAGGTCGCAAAGGAGGTTGAGATACGGCGGACTTTGCTGGCTTTCTTCCATCTGGCGCAGTGGACTCGCTAGCACCGCCGCTGGAGCTGCCACCCTTGTCGGGCGATTTCTTCTTCTGAGACTTTGCCGAGGGGATCGACTTTGACACCTTGGCTTTAGCCAGCGCTGAGCTCGACAAATCTCTCCGCGATGTAAGTCGCAGAACGGAATCGCGCCCCGCGATGCTATTGAGAAGGCCGGGTGTTGCATGTACTTCCGAAGAGCTGTGCGTTGCGGGTCTGATTGCAGGGCTCGATAAAGGTGCGTAGCTCCGTCGTTGTGCACCACAAGCTGCGCTCCACACAGTGGTGCTTGTACTTCGCGCGCCCGTCAAGTCTGAGCGCGCCTGAATGCTGGTAGAAGACGAGGTGCTTCGAAACGTCGACGACGGAACACGCTCGGTCGGATCGCGACGATGGGCAGGCGCCGCGCCTGAACGCGTGCGATGTAGGCGGACAGTCCAACAAGCGCATGTATGCGCAGCAAGAGCTGTTCGAGCGATCGATTGAGCTCGTGTGAGCGTGCTGCTGAGTCTTGCCAAATCGCCAAAGAGGGGGTTCATGGCGCAGACGATGCTCGTGACCGGCTCGGAAACGCGTGTCGGGTCGCGCCAGGAGCGAGCCGAGGCCAGTATACGGTGATGCTCTGCTTTCTCACCCAGTAGATCGGGTTCGCAGGTTGGCTGCCATGCTTGGCACGAGATGGAGGATTTGGATGGAATAGGTGACGACCTGTTTGAGTGGGCGAGCAAGCAATGATCGACGTGCTCACCAGCTCAGCTCCAGGGCCGCATCGTCGAGACTCAACAGAGAGGACAAAGGAGAAGTCAAAGAGTCGCGTCACGAGTCAGTGAGTCTGATGAGTGGCGGGGGGAGCACAGCAAGTCACGCTTTAGCGCTGCACGGGCTGCTTTGCTACATGCACGCACGCTGCCTGCACTCCAATGTGAATCTCGCAGCTTGGATCACCCAGCCTATGCGCAAGTCACGTGTTCTTGCTCCGAATCTGCATCAGACCGGCTTATCCGCCTCGAAGCGCCACCGCAATCAAGGGCGCCGCGCGGCGGGCGGAATGGGCGAGACACCTCCACTTTGTGGAGCAGGCTTGCCGCTCTCTGATGATCGGCACCTCGTTCTGCGCGCCTCGAGGCGATGCAGCGAAGCATCTCAGGGCGAGGGGTTGTGTCGGACGACATACAGTACCTACACATCCACGTTTCACATCGACGTCGTGAGTCTGAGTGACCAAGTTCTGGCTGTGCAGCACGCGACGCGCTCGAACCTTGCCAGCAGGCAACCTACTCAAGACCCGCCCCCACATTCGTCAACACGCACCCTGACACCTCTCCACGCTCCCCCACCGACACCTGCTCATACGCATTCGTCAAGCATCCCCATCTTCCCACTCGCAATCATGTCGGCTCAAGGAAGATGCAACTGCGGAAAATTTGCCTTTGAAGTTCCACCTGTGAGTCTTGTTCGCCTTACCAGATGGTGCCTCCTTCGCACACACACGCACACACGCACACAC